CATACTTTTGATCTGTGGCAGCTGTACCAGGAAACGTGATCTATTTTCCTTCGTTAAAACTTGACCAAAACGGAACTAGTTCTGTTCCACGTTTGTGGATTTCATGGACAACCATTGGGAAGGTACTGCGTATTATAATACATGTCTTCTAGCAATTTTTAATTACACAAATTGTTTGCCTGACCACCCCTATTTGCCAAATGACGCGAGAAGCGTTCACATACTAGGACGGGAGTATAATTGCCTGAAAGGTAAGCTTTTCTTAGCATTCTCTCTTAACCGACTTTTACTGAGGCGATATTTATCCTTGTCACACGTCCTTATGTTTGGTATACATATCCAACTTCTGAAGCCAAAACGCCGTACGGCAGCAACATTTCACGTGAAATGCGCCTTGGTTTTCACACCCGTTCATTGTTGTAGAGGGCACAGTAATATCCTTTATCGACTCCATCACTTCCCGCTCACTACAGGACTATGTGTGGTGTTACGGTGCAGTACCACACTACTGTTCCACAAAATGAAATCGCTCATGATGAGAAGGCGGAAACTTTGGGGCCGGTTCAAGTTCTCTCAGACGGCACAAGATTACGCGCATTACAAAGAGGCTAGAAATTTATGTACCCTGAGAAAGCGCGAGAAGCGAGAATTATATGAGCAGCATCTGACCGAGCAATCTGTGGTTAATCCGAAAAAGCTTTTCGCATACTTAAAAAGAAGCACCAAAGCTGGCAACGGTATACCCGCACTGTATTCAAGCAAAGCACACCATGCTTCATGATGACATGGCGAAAGCTTGTCTACTAGCTTCGCAATACTCTTCTGTGTATACGACGGAGGCGCCATTAGCTGTTGAGGACACTTCCTATCACCCCTCTCCATTAGAGCATGTTGAAATTACCACTGATAGAGTATTGGAACTGCTTCTTGACTTGAACTCGAATTCTTCACCGGGTCCCGATGGCTTGCATCCCGTGTTCCTCAAAGAGGTGGCGGAGTTCATTGCTGCACCAATTTGTCAAGTATTTCGTAGCTCACTTGAAGCAGGTCGTCTCCCAACTAAATGGAAAGCAAATGTCGTGAAACCCATGTACAAAGGTGGGAATCGCCAAGATCCAGTGAACTACCGACCGATTTGTCTGTCATCAATCCTCTGTAAAACCATGGAAAGGATTTTGAAACAGGCCTTGCATCTTCACCTTGAGAAATTGGACGTCATCTCTCCTGCTCAGCACGGATTTCGAAGGGCACGCTCTTGCATTACCAATCTGCTTGTTGCCCGAGAAAAATGGGCGCAGTCAGTGGATGCTGGTCATCGACTTGATGTAGTTTTTGTGGATTTTAGCAAGGCGTTTGATAGGGTTCCACACAAGCGACTTCTTAGCAAACTTCGGCAGATTGGCATCGCTGGTAAGTTGCTCGCCTGGATCGCGGATTTCCTAGATAACCGTAGTATGAAGGTGAGAGTTAACGAAGTCGACTCTGTTCCTGTTCTTATGACCAGTGGGGTTCCACAAGGCTCCGTACTTGGTCCCGAACTATTCAAAATCTTCATCAACGATCTCCCGGAGGTGCTCCAAATAGACTGCTTGATCTATGCTGATGATCTTAAACTTTGGTCGGAAGTATCCAGGCTTGAAGATGCTGACAGGTTGCAGCTGACGCTCGATCTGCTGCACGATTGGTCGGTCAAGTGGCAAATGCCTATCAATCGTGATAAGTGCTGTGTTCTCCCGATCGGTGATCATGAACCTTTCGGTGCTTACCACATCGGTGGTTTTCTGTTGAAGAATGTGGTTGGTGAGAAGGACTTGGGTGTACTTATTTCTCCAGACCTAAGAACAACGCAGGACACGTTGCGGAAGGTAGCATCTGCCACCAGGATGCTCTGTGCCATACGAAGGTCGTTTTACAAATTAATTCCGTAGAACTTCAGGCTCCTGTTTTCCGTCCACGTTCGTCCAATACTGGAATACGGCCTACCTGCCATACACCCACTCACGAACTTTGAATGTGCGTTGATTGAGAAGGTTCCGAGGCGCAGATCCAACTCTGCGTCTGTGCTTCGTGTTTTATCTTATTACATTCGTCTCCAATGCATGAACTTATTTACTCTGGACTACCGCCGTCGCCGTGGTGATCTGCTTTATACTAGACGCATTTTAAGGGGCGATTTGGGGAAGGAGGTGATGCAGTTCTTCCAGCTCAACACAGATTGTTCTAAACTAGGCCACAGCTTGAAACCTTTCAAACCTCGGCGGAACCATATCCGGTCCGATATCGCGTTATCCACAACGGTTGCGAATGAGTGGAACAACCTTCCTGAATGTGTGGTAAGTGCCCAGACAGAGGAATGTTTTAAAGAACGATTGGACAAGTACATGCTGAGCATGCCTGGATTCCGCTGTTTTTGCTGCAGCTGCAACAATCCCTCGGAGAACACAGTTTAGCATCGACAGGTCATCCAGCCAATGAACGGGAGGTGATGGAGCTGACACGGGTCTTCCCTTCTGCTCTCTACAACTCTATGAACTCCATAAAAAAAGAGCGTTACATCCGCAGTGAACACAGATCCATGCTTGCCCGGCCGGTGGCCGAGTGGTCTGCACGTTTCATTGAGTGGTAGAGAGCAGAAGGGGGGTCCCGTGTCAGCTCCTTCGCTTCCCGATCTTCCAAGGATTGCAGGCGAGTCGGCTGTCATGACTCAGGATGTAATATCAGCCCTGCAGGATCCTGGAGTACTCAGTAGGAAGATGTCTAACAAACGTTTGAAACTCGCTTCTGATTGCGCATTGACAATCGGGTCCGGCAGTCGGTTCCAATCATTAATCACTCGAGTAGAGAGAGCAACATCTGAGCGGACTTTGCAACCGGTTCGAATCCGCGTAGGGGTAGGCGTCCTCGTGGTATACTCAGCCCGCGCGCGACTGGTGGCGGTCGCGCGGCAGCGTAGCGCCGTTACGGCGTACAGCTGACACATTTATTGCCTGGCAGTCGTTTAGATCATTCCACTATTTGTGCACTGACGGCTACCTCAGGTAGATTGTTCCAGTCGTACACTCACCAGTTAAAAAGTAACCTCGGAAAAAAACGACGAATTCTCGATTTAAACAGCTTCCGAAATTCGCCTCATGTCGATGTATCCGCCCAAAGTGAAAGGACTACAACTCATTCCTCATCCCACCTAAAAGAATACGCCGGGTGTAAATTGTCACCACACCATGACGATACTAGAAACAACAACTTCGTATTTGCAGTTGCTGGGAGTGAAGTAGGTCCTGGACTGTATTGACGGGTTTTCAGGTCAGGTCAGGTCAGATGGACGATAGACGCTTCCGCCTAACGAGCGTCCAGTTCTTGTACCGGTACGTGAAGCGGCCTCCGGCACTTCGACGTTGGATTGTCTCTTCTTGCTTCTGCAATGGAATGAAGCAAGAACGAGAGTAATTTCTGCATTTTCCTATGCCAACATCAAAATACACTACACATTCCAGTACAACTACAATAGCTCTGGAAAAAGGATGGACCAACAATTGTCAAAGCCCCTTTTGAAGGCTACTATGGTCTCAGACTCCACTTAATCAGAAGGAAGTTTATTCCAGAAGTTAACTACTCGGTTCGTAAAAAACTTTGCCCAGATGTCCAAACGATCTCTGTGATGTTTGAGCTTCAGGCGATACCAGCGCAGATGGTTTGACGTAGCCAACTAAAACAGATAGGTGCAACTAATACCACTAATTCCCTTAATGATCTTAAACGTCACTATCAAATCCCGTCTCAACCTGAGCCATTCCAAGAAAAGTAATCCTAAGCTACTTAGACGATCTTGGTAAGACTTCCCTCGTTGACCTTCAGTCATCCTGGCCGCAAGTTTCCAGATCTATTCTATACACATTATGTCACTCCGGAGGCACTGTGACCAGGCCTGAACACAATACTCCAGATGTCGACCGACCACTGATTTATATAAGGACAAAAATACTTCTGCTTTAGTGTCAACGTTTGTGATTTTATTCACATACATTATCAACCAGTGTCATTGTTTACATCCCGGCACCCATCCTAAAGCTCTAGAGCTTGTCTTGTAATTTGGCGGCGCGGGTTCAAACCTGCATAGGAGCAGGGTGACTCTCGCAGTAGCAGTCCACGCGCGACTGGTGGTGGTTGCGCGGCAGCGAAGCGTCGGTGCTGCGTACCGGTGTACTGCTGATGCCTTTCTTTTTCATTGTGCACATCGGAGACAGCGGTTGTGATCGTCACTCATTTCTCCACTGTTTGATTATTTGTCCTTAAGGCAATCATTTATTGTCCACTGTTTCGCAACCTCTGCGCATCAACCCTACTCAGTTAGGCGCAAATAATAAATCAGTGGCACGATTGCCGTTGTTTTCGTATTGTGAACCACTGTTTCTTCTATACAATCAACCAAGTACTTTTTACTATGCATTCTCCCAATATTTCATGATATTGGTAACTCAGTTCATCACACAACTGCCGCGTTGCACCGCTCGTAATATCTTTCAATTTCTGAAACGCACCATTTCGTAGCCTGCTGCGTGGACACTTTTCTTCATGTATTCCTTTTTATTGTGTTTGCAGATAGAGATATTATCACCTCGCGCCTTCGTTCTCTTTTCTGGATGACTTACCGTAAAGGTTTCGCACCCATCGTCATGCAAAAAGGACCATCTTCAGATACTGGCTGGGGGTGCATGCATCGTTGCGGACAGATGCTGTTAGTGGAAGCAATGACGCGAGTTCACCTTGGCGCAGGTTCGTCGATCGTCCACACACGTTTCTAACAGAGCTGGTTACTTTCATATCTTGCTAGATACCACCAAGCTTAGTAATGCTCCTATTCTTTCAGATTGGCTATGGACACCCGAGTGTCGAAATGAAACATACTCCCAAATACGTCGCATGTTCCAAGATCAGCGATCTTCTCTCTACTCTATACAGAATATCAGTAAGTGACATGCTTCCTTCATTTCATGGCTGCACAAAGTATTTGTGCAAATTATTTTGAAAAATCCTTAGCGCCTTTCCACTAACACACACTTCCATCAGTTTGTGACTTACATCTATCTAACCACGTGTATTATTTCTCAATGCACTGATCCATTTGATGGTCAGTGTTCCTTGACCTCGGTAGTTTTGCTGTAAACCTTTTGTCTCTAAACCAGTTGACAGCGTCAGTGCATCGCTTAACCCGTCGAACGATCCGAACCCAGATTGATGGCCTTTCTCTCCACACGACTATCCGACGCACACCCACCAACACTTCGCATCGCTCCACTACACAACGGTGCGCCGATGATGTCGTCTAGGTTTGTTGGTAACAATTTACAGCAAAATTGCGGTGCTCAACGAACACTGCGACCACCAACTGAACAACTTAGACTACAAATATTTGCATATGTCAAGACTATTCAACTTGTTCGAATGAACGGTTACATCCCCCTTATGTTACTGTATTGACGGAACAGATTGCCTTATCCCCTCGAATCTTAGTGCTGCTTCGCTACATGAATTCAAGTACGCTTCAGAATGTCGTTCCTTTCCACCTTTTAAAACTGCAACTTAATTCTATGTACATTAGTTACTCGCCGTCTTGCCACGTGATTCTCGAGCACATTAGCGATCATTTTATTACTTGCTCCCCAGACTGCTTTAAACATGTCCCTTTCATTTACACCTAGGCCAGTTGGCCTATTCTGTTTTTTTCCAAAGGATCGACGCATCAATGACTGCATTATATTGCTAATTTATACTATTATTTCTTACCAGGCAAGTGGTACCTTAGACCTTAGCGCTGACCTTGCACTGAATATCAAATTTACTCGGGTACACCACATCAATCTTGTGCGGCCAGAAATGCTAGCTATCGAGTGATTATATGGCGCGTTTCTTTTCGTGTTCTACGCCCAAATCAACCTCACCTCGCACACAACCCGGCGTCAAACGCACTTTAAATCTGCTGTCTGGCTAGGAGCTAACAGCATGTACACCACTTGTGAGTACCAATCGTTCTGACGTCTCAGTTGTGACTGAGACACCAAAAACACGATCCAGAGGTAGACGAGTCTACTTCCGTCACCAGGTCCTTCCTTGTTCTCCAGCGTTGTGTCATCTTAGGTCCAATAAGCGACGCAAGAACCATACTCGGTTATGCATTACGCGAGCATTTGTAGCACGTACCCAAGGCTTATTTGTCGATCTAAGGAATTCGGCGCTTACTTATGCATCTCATATTTGCAGAAACGATAACACCATCCGACACACGCAGTGGTCCGTAGACAATGATGGACAGACTTGTAGGTACCCGAGATCTTCGATTGCAAGTGATTAGATATCACAGCTGTGGGTGAGGCGCTCCTCACTGTGTTCCAGTCGCTATCGAACTGAACGTTAATATTTTGTATCGGTTTGCACTCCATTCCCATCCGTTAAGCTACACTTGGTGATACACTCGGGTTCCTTAGGAGCTACTTCTATCAGATCACTCAGTGATTTGAAATAAGACAAGCTGGGTTAACACACATTTTTGTAAAACTGATCTACCTCTTGAACAAATGTCATATCCACGCTACTTTAGGGTCGGTTTTTTTAACCAAATACTTTGATTTGGGTCCGAGTCTTTTTCTTGATTGCTTTCGGGTGTCATTACGCTGTATCAGCACGCATATGACCATGTTACTGTCAACAAACTCCAGCTTCAACATGCATTGAACATCGCTTAGTTTTACCCGATCTTCATATCTGCTGTAAACAGCACGGTTGTTAATCAATCTGAACTGCTGCTGATGTATTCCTTTTTCATCAGCTAGCCGTGCACAACAGAAGGCAGCTGCAGTGCTACTGAAGCTCCACCACATTCATTCGCGTCACAATACCCAGTAGTCTCATACAATACACCAGGCTGCTTTGGCGTAGTACAGCTTTTATTTATGAATGTCGGCTGATTGCGACGAACAAAAATACAGCTTTTATCTCCTACTATAGGTTAACCAACAGGATACAATTGCATGTACACGAGGTACCCTTTTTATCTTTATCCAGCTAACCACGTCTAGTCGGAATGTGGCTGAGGAAATGAGGTGTCTACCTTGTGACTCAAGTCACCGTTTCGAATCTGCGTAGCTGCCGGCGGCCTCGCACTATCCGCGCGTGACCTCAGTTCGCCCCGCACCGACGTATTGCTGATGCCTTTTATCTTTTTTACACCTAGCCCATCTCATTATTGCTGATACTCCTTTAAAGATGTTGGTGCAACAACCCAAAGCCAGAGTATCTTTAACATTTTTCTCAGCTCTAGATCCGAATCCTTGTCCTTCGGTTGTTTTCCCTGCGCATACATGCTACTGTGCAACCAAGTCGTCAACTTCAACCAAAGTGTAGTTACAATACATTGCTAGACGTTGTTTGTTTGAGATTTTATGGTCCAATCTGCTACAGTCCAGGTACCACCGTGACGCTACTAGTTCGGACATACCTTTACCTTTGTGGATTATGGTTGCGCATGTAGGTCATCTAAGCTCGTCAAAGATATAGTCGTGTATGTTTGCGCTAAACCCAGTGCATGCATCATGAAGAGGGTTTATTGCGACTGTACGCCGACCATTCATGGTTCAGTATCCAAGAGCAATGGGCACCCATGTGACCCTTAGCGTTCTCTGACAGCTAACCAACAATTAACCAAAGCAGACCACGTCTCCATAAGCCTCACATTGTGGCCCACCAAGACTAGCCTCTGCTGCGTCAGTAGCACAGGGGACTAGGAAAACCGGACGATGACAAACCAACAATAGACCAAACCGACGTCCTGGAACGAAGGAGACGCCCGGATGCCACAGATGGATATGTGCTTCGAATAAGCGCTGGAATAACGCTCGACAGATGCTGGGTAAAAGGGCGTGCTTTGGATGGTCGGGTGTAATGCCACAATGAATAATTCTCCCCAGTTATTGCGATTTTGCAATATACTAGGCTGGCTTGCCGAACAACCTTCTCGTGGTGCCAGCTGGGTGGTTCGGGTTTTTCCCGTTCCAGCGAGTGGTTCGGCGGCAGTGTTCCAGGACGTGTTGGGTTTTCGCCTGGCAAGCGTTCTCTCCATAAAAATCCGTAAATATCTGTTTAACAACACTGCGACGTGGCGGATGTAACTCGCCACTAAATAAAGTCACTGCCCCTTGCCCCTCCCTGAGAGGCATTGTACTTTAAGGGTGCGTTTGGCCCCTGGTCCTTCACGGACCGAAAGACGTATGAACCATCTATTTGGTCACCGGCTCCCAACGGGTTGCGACGCCCTCACATCGCCCTGCTGCCTTTTAGGTTGGATCTTTGATCAAAGGCTCGGGGTAGGGCCCCCTAAGACAACCCTCTACTTCGGCCTGGGCAACCGGGTAGTATCACGCCCAGTGATAAATCATGGACCACGCTGCTTACTACTGCTCCCGCTATGCCTATCTTCTGTGCTAACTCAACCGCTCAACCTCCACTAACAGATCACCCCATCTTCCGTCCGTCAACCACGTACTCTTATGTCTTCTACGGACACCGTCACAAACGACCTACGTCTCGCAACTGATGGAAGCAACAGCCAAACTCCCGGTTTTCAATGTCCTGCGATCGCAACCGCCTCTCACTCCACCGAAGCTCCAGCTCTTATTCGACCTGGTTCTCCATTCATCCCCGCAGCGTTTAATGTTCGAACTTTGATGCGGATCGGACGACAAGCATGTCTGGCCCGTACTCTTGAAACGCTTTCGGTAGCCTGTTGCCTTTCAGAGACCAGATTACAAAACTCTAGCGCCGTCATCAGAATGGCCTCTCCGGTAAACCCTGACGCCAAATACTACTTGCGGCTTTCCGGAGACCCAGAAGCTGCCGCCACTGGCCAAGCTGATGTTGGGGTTGTACTGAGTGCCTGGGCTGAATCAGCTCTGTTTGACTGGATCCCAGTCAACAGTTGGCTATGTGCAGTCAGACTACGAGGTTCATGTAACGTAAGCAGGCCTTGAGACGTTAAGCGTGCCTTGTTTGTTGTCACCGCCTACGCCCCTACAGACTGCAGTCCGGATGCAGTTGAAGACAGCTTTTGCCAGCAGTTACATGAACTTCTGTGTTCCTCCAAAAGGACTGATATAGTCATTTTTGCCGGGGACTTTAACGCACGGGTTGGCCGCCTTCCACCAAACGAGCACTACCTTGGGGCTAGCTTTGATCTCGGTGGCAGTAGATCAGACAACGGAGACAGACTACTTGCTCTTTGCTCTGATCATCGCCTGTTTCGTTCAAGCACTAGTTTTCGGTACTCGAGGAGACACATGGCGCCCGCCCTCACAAACGCAAGAGTGCTCCCAGCTTGACCACATAGCAATCAGCTACAGATGGCGCGGAAGCGTAACGGACTGCCGATCATACTGGTCAACTTTTCTAGACTCCGATCACGCATTTGGTTCGTGCTAAGATTTGCATGCGTTCCGGAGGATCACCTAAGCGCGCTCACTACCGACCGGACGTCGCAAATCTAAAAAAAACCTTGCGATTTTAACCAGATACCAAGCCTCACTGTCAACTTTACTTGGCTCAACTATTGATGGTGATCTCGATTCACAGTGGGCGCATATCAAAGATGCTTTAGTTTCCGCCAGTATTGACACTTGTGGAGTTGCCCGTCACCCACCGAAGCATTGGATTTCCGCCGACTCCTTGTCGCTGATGGAAAAAACGCCGCTTGATCCCGTCGGGTTCCAGACACAGTGGAGCACGCCAATCCCTTGTTCGAGAGTTGCGCAGGAGTCTGCAAATGGACCGCGAAGGTTGGTGGCGTGAACGTGCTAGGGAGATGGAGCTTGCGAGTCTCTCTGGTAATACCAGAAAACTTTTCCATCTCATTCGAGTCACCGAAGGTGTTCGATCTGGTATAAGCGAAACAATATGCGAAGAGGATGGCACCTTAATCAC